GAGACAGAGTCTTACTATGTCTTTCTTGGTAGCGTGGGTAGAGTGCTGTGGTGTCACAGCTCACAGCAACCTCAAACTCTTTGGCTTAAATGGTTCTCTTGCTTCAGCCTCCCAAGTAGCCGGGACTACAGGTGCCTGCCATAATGCCTGGCTTTGTTGTTGTTTTGGCCGGGCTAGGTTTGAACCTGCCACCTCTGGTATATGGGACCAGCACCCTACTCCTTGAGCCACAGGCGCCGCCCCTGCCTGACTATTTTTTGTTACAGTTGTTATGGTGGTTTTACCCAGCCCAGGCTGGGTTCAAACCTGCCAACCTTCATTTATGTGGCTGGTGCCATAACCACTGTGCTATGGGAGTGGAGGTGTACACTGAGAATTCTTATAATGTATGAGGAATTGGGATAAAGTACTTGTATTGGTGTATTGCCTTTGTGATGCGTCCTTTTACTTGTGAGGGGGATCCTTTCCACTCTCCTAAAAAAGCCTATGCTTCGAATCCAGCCTGGGCCCGCCAAACAACGATGGCTGCAACCAAAAAATAGCCGGGCGTTCTGACAGGTGTCTGTAGTCCCAGCTACTGGGGACGCGGAGGCAGGAGAATCGCTTGAGCCCAAGAATTGGATGTTGCCATGAGCTGCGGATGCCACGACACTTTACCCAGGGCGACAGCTTGAGGCTCTGTCTCAAAAAAAAAAGAAAAAAAGCCTATGCTTATCTCTACTTCCCTTTAAATAAAAATTACACTTCTGTCTATGTTGCGATGGAGTCCTACCTGCCTCATTTTCCCTTCCCCCAGTTCCTTCCTCTCCCTTTGACTCAGCTCAACTTGCTGGTTCTGCTGGGTGAACCCAACCAGGTCTGAGTGTTCACAGCACAGAGGTGAACACTCACCTCCAGCAGTACACTTAAAAGTAATTAAAATGGCTCAGCCCCTGTGGCTAAAGCGGCTAAGGCACCAGCCACATACACCTGAGCTGGCGGGTTCAAATCCAGCCCGGGCCGCCAAACAACAATGACGGCTGCAACCAAAAAATAGCTGGGCATTGTGGTGGGCGCCTGTGGTCCCAGCTGCTTGGGAGGCTGAGGCAGGAGAATCACTTGAGCCCAGGAGTTGGAGGTTGCTATGAGCTGTGATGCCATGGTACTCTCTACCCAGGGCAACAGCTTGAGGTTCTGTCTCAAAAAAAAAAAAAGTAGTTAAAATGGTAAATGCTGTTATGTATTATTTTACCATTAAGGAAAATCACAACCTGCCATATCGAATGGGCTCACTTTGTGATTGCAGTAAAATCTCATTCTTGCCAGGTTGTTTTCCCCATTTTACCCGATGTGGGACCTTGAGCAAAAACACCTGTGTCCAACTGCCCCCCTCCTAACTGGGGGTAATGACATGCGGTCACTGAGGGTGACTGTAAAACTTGAGTTCACACACCAGTGTTTGATTCAGTATACATGAGGGTTTGCAGTGTTCTTCGAGCCGCACGTGGGTTGGCGCTGCCTGACAGCTGTCTCCTGCCACCTTGGGCTTTGGTAGGTGACTCCTCTGCTTGTGCTTGCCCTGGACTCTAGCAGGGTCGACTTCTTAACATCTTACAGTTCATTGTCATAGCCTGAGGGACGTTTCCCAGGCTGCTCAGACCAAGGACTCCTCCCTCGGATTGCCCACTTTACTTTGTGCTTTGTCCTCGCACAAGAGCCTAAGTCCTGTGGAGGTAGAGCTGAACCTGTTCCTTCTGGGGACCCCAGAGTGATGCAGAGTCCCTGACAAGGGGTTATGAGTGATGCAAAGTTTACGTGAACACTTAGGTCTGTTCTGGACCAATGAAGCCAGCTTCGAGGCGGACCTGTCGGGCCTTATCCTTCACAGGGCTGCGGGGCTGCCCCTCTCCTCCGCGCCAGGGTGACGCTGACACACCACTTTGCCCAAGCCTCCTTGGTTCGAGCTCCTCTTCTGACCACTCGCGCAGGCCCACAGGCCACCGTATGGTAGGGGAAGCCTCCCAGGCAGGGCCGCGGTTACCAAGCCTGAGAAGGTTGCCCGCCTCATTGAGAGCCGCTTGAATTGGGCGACTCCGGGCCACTGGCAAAGCAGAGCACTTTACAGCGGCCCACAACCACCTCCGGGCGCACGTGCAGCCGCTCGCAGACCAGGACGCACGCGCACTTCCGGCAGCGGTGCACCGTGGGACTTGCAGTTCGCAGGCGAATGAGTCCTGAGCGTGGAGGCCGCGGGGCATGCTGGGGACGCTAGGCGCTCAAGGGTGATGACGTCCCGTTAGGCTTGCTTCCCCTCAGACGGGTTTCAGGAGATATTTGCCCCGTGCTACACGAGAAGCCGGTCTCGGAACTGCACTTCTCCTTCACCGGGCAACCTCCTGGCTTGGACGGGACAATGGTCCCCCAACTCCGCCGTCCTTAGCAGAGTGACCAGTTGCGCCACTACTAGGCGCCCCCGTGCGGTGTCGCTCGCGAGCCCCAGAGGCTTCTGGGTAGCGGCTTACCACCCGCCCTGCGTCGGCGACTTCCTTTCCCTTCCAGACGCCGCCGAGGTCGCACGCGTGAGGCCTGTCCGCCGCTGATAAGTGAGTGGGGTGGTCGGGTTCGATTCTGAGTCGGGGTACGCGACGCAAAGGCACTGGGGTGAGGGCGACCCGTGGGGCGCGCAGCCTTGCTGGGGCAGGGTCCTCTTAGCTCGGCCGGTACGGCGCGGCGGCCTTCGGGCTGGAGGCCGCGGGGTAACGCCGCCGCCGCCGCGCTCTCTTGTAGCCTCAGGATGCGCTACGTCGCCTCCTACCTGCTGGCCGCTCTCGGGGGCAACGCCTCCCCCAGCGCCAAGGACATCAAGAAGATTCTAGACAGCGTCGGCATCGAGGCGGATGACGACCGGCTCAACAAGGTAACTGCCCTTGAGGGCCCGCAGGCGGCCTGCTCCGACCTCACTCGCGGTCCCCGCACGGCCGGGGTGGTTAACGTGCGGCGGGTGGGGGGCGGTCTACGCCCGTCCATGGGGCTCCAAACAGCAGGTAGGAGGCAGAGCCCGGAGGATTAATGCAGGCGAATGTATAACGTGAAACAAGTAAAAGGGCCGGGTAAGTTGGCTCACGCCTATAATCTTTGTATTCTAGGAGGCCGAGGCGGTGTTGAGCTCAGGTGTTGGAGACAAGCCTTGAGCCACCTACCTTATCTCTACTAAAAATTGAAAAAATAGCCAAGCGTTGTGGTGGGCGCCTGTAGTCCTAGCTACTCTGGAGGCTGACACAAAGAGAGTCGCTTGAGCCCGGGAGTTTGAGGTTGCTGTGAGATATGACGCTACGGCACTCTATCCAGATTATACAGGTTACAGAGTGAAACTCTACCTCCAAAAAAAAAAAAAAAAAAAAAAAAGCAGGCTTGGCGCCTGTGGCTCAAGTGGCTGAGGCGCCAGTCACATACACCTGGGGTGGTGGGTTCGAATCCAACCCCGGCCCGCCGGCCGACAATGCCGGCTGCAGCCCAAAGATGGCCGGGCGTTGTGGTGGATGCCTGCGGTCCCAGCTACTTGGGAGGCAGAGGCAGGAGACTCGCTTGAGCCCAGGAGTTGGAGGTTGCTGTGAGCTGTGATGCCATGGCACTCTACCCAGG